GCACATATAAAATTTAATTTAAATCACCTTTATAGATGACAAAAATCTAATTTTATTTTGCTAACACTGGTTGTTATTTTGATCACGAGTTAATTCTATTTGGGGTGAATACTAATATTGTAAGAGTGAATATACTAATCATATCAATAAAATGACATGTTTATCTTAGAATCTAAAATATATTACATTGGATCACATGAATGCAAGGTTTAAGCAAAATTAAGTCTGACAATGCCATTGTTTTTTATTACTGTTAGTGTGGCAACACTATTTGATATTTCAAGATGGCTCAAATAGTGAGCTGATGAATGACTTAGGAAAAAAAAATCAAGAATGTTTAAATTTTTCAGTTGGTGATTATCCAATGAGTTTCCATCTTTGTTATAGCTTGCTGTTTATAGTTGCCCAGGCTCATCCAGTGGCCACCTTTACTTCAGGATTCTCCTCTGCACATACATGGAAGTGAGCAGTGCACTTCAAGGTCCCACTGTAAGCTGATTTAGGGAGAAAGGACTTGGTGATCTTAAGAAAGATAGCTGGGCTAGATCATGTGGGATCAAAGTTCTCAGGAGACAAAATGCAGGTACTTGGGGTAAAATGTACTTTCTGCTGCCCCACCACACTCTACTTGCTAGAGAAACATGCTCTGTGCTTTGGGTGAGAGATGCACACTGTTGGTCATGCATGGTCGCTGAGATGGTAATTACAGTGCTCCATATTGTGATTCCTTAGTTTTCAAATCCTAGGAATTTTTGATTTGAGTATTACCACAAACAACTCCTACCTCAATTCATTATATTCGTCTATCCTTCCCACGTTCTATTTCTAAAAGCGTCCTTCTCCAGAAGGCACAGGGATGTGCCTGAAAGAGTTGGCTCTTAACATTCTCTTACTACCAAGAAGGGGATAAGGGAGGGCAAGAGTAAAACAAAACTTCATATAGTACTTTGAGGGCAGCAAGGCTGTGATCTAACAATAATGGTGCGTAATTACGACACGTTTGTCAGATTCCCCAGAATGCACAATGTCCAAAATGAACCCTAAAGCGCATCTATGGCTTTAGGTGATAATGGTATGTCATTGTGGGTTCATCCTTTGTAACAAATGTGCCGTTCTACTGGGGCAGGCTACGCAAGGGCAGAAGCCAGAGTATGTATATCTTTTTCCTTCCTCTCAATTTTGCTGTAACTTTAAAGCTGCTCTAAAAATATTTTTTGGTAATTCCTTACCTCACTAGTGATTTTTGAATGAGCTTTTCAGAAAGGCCCTCAAGATGGAGGTCTCTGCGATGTGCTAATCTGGGGACCAGAAAGGGGGACCTGTCCTCAGGTGCTCTAGGAAGGCGTGTCCCTGCCCCTGGACGTTCGCCTCCGGGGTGACTGCACTCGCCGTCCCAGTGCAGAACCATGCCCACGAGAAAAACCAATCAAGCGCCGCGATCCTCCTTCCTCTCCTGTGCCACCGCCCACTCCCAACAGGCTGACAATCTAGACAGCTCCCCGTCACTAGTCCGACTTTTCCATCTCCTCCCACTCCGCGACACACTCCGAGGCGCGGCGCGGATGGGACGCCGGCGGAGTCAGCGAGCATGCGCGTCCGCCGCGAGCATGCTCAGTAGCGCGCGCGGCGTCCCGGAGCCTCGCCGCCGAGCCGCGAGCGACGCGGAGGTCCCCGCGGCTGCTGAGGGAGCGACAGGAAGTGAAGCGGCCCCGCCAGGCGAACGCGGCGGCGGAACCCGAGGCGGCGGAAGGGGCTCTGCGGCGACGACGTCGTCGACCGGGGAGGCCGAGGGAGCTGAGCGCCGAGGGGACGCTCCCGCTCGGAAGCCAGACCCCGAGGCGGGCAGGATGGATCATCACCAGCTGGGGACCGGCCGCTACCAGGTGGTGAGTGTCCGGCCCCGGGACCCAGGCCGCGCTGCCCTCCGCTCCCCGGGGGATCCTCCCGGCCCCATCCCCCGTCCTGGCCTAGCTCCCGGAGGCCCGCTCCCACCAAACCCTGTCCCGGATATCCCGGAACTTGCTCCTGCTCTACTCCGCATTCTGATTGCCCGACTCAGACGCTCCAGAGACATTGCGGTGGCGTCCACGGGCAGGGTGGCTGGGTGCACGTACCTGTCGGGAAAGGAGGCTGTCGCCGTCGTAAACTGGGTGGGTGGGATGGAGCTGGGGAGAAAACCGGCTCCCAGGCTGTCGCTAGAGGATGGCTCTAGAGCTCTGGCCTCTCTGGTCTAGTTAACCTTGTCTCTCTGCCGTTCTCCATTATGTTCGCATTAAAAAACGCGACCCATCCCTGCTGTGTGTGTGTCTGCGTGGGTTTTGGCGGGAGGTGCAGTGTTTTATTAGAAAAAAAGATTCCTAATGTTGTTTGAAAAAATTAGTTTTCATTTAATACATGGTTTCAACAGCCCTACATGTAGAAGCCTTTGTAACCATGTTTAAATGAGTGAAACATGCCCTGTGTATTCTTTGTCGAAATTTCTACTGTAGTTTTTCCTTTGTGTATTAATTCTAGCCGTGTCATTGGAGTTTTCTATTGTAAATCTCCCTATCACAAGTAGTTAACTACTGTGTTGCAGCTAGATCATATATTCATTTATAAACTTGAGAGGAGAAAAGGATTACTGGCTATTGTTGATGGTGAACTTAATAGTTTATAAAGTTGTACGCTTAGCCTCAGATTTCACCCTTCGTGTCTATTGTATGGGTGTTGTGATCCAAGAATTTCGACTAAGTGCGTTCGGACCAATATGAAGGATTACTGAAAGACGGGCTCTCAATTGTAATTTTTCATTTTTCTATGGTAAGAGTTCTGTATCTTCTGGTTTATATCCTGTAATACCTCCAAATAATTCAGATTATGAGTTTCTGAAAACTATCAGAAAAAAATTATCAGAAAGTATTTAAAGAATGGTATAGAAAAAATTGTTGACATTAGATTAGGATGTACTTTTCTAGATGACAGTTTGGGGTGGCTTCATATTTTTAAAGACACTTTTTGTGTTTATGGAACTAAAATGCTACAGATATTTTGGATAATTTTATCATTGGTACTTGCTTCATTTTTTTTTTTCCAAATCTTTCCTGTTCTCATTGTTTCTTTTAGTGATATGAACTGATTTGAATTCTTTCTTGGGGCTACTTTTGCTTACTGGACTCAACCACAACATGATTCATGTCACTACTCCAAATATTTTTAACTGGGTAGCTGCTCCTTTAACAATTTATTATATTGTCTCTTTTGCTTTCAATAGGTCTTAAGTAGTTGAGACTATTTTCAAAATTCCTCTGGATAAGTTGTTGCAGTTTACTTTCAGTGTGAAAATATTTCTTTTTGTCTAAACTTTCTTTCAAAGTAAGAGAACATTATCACATTTTGTTGCCTTTTTTCCTTCCGATCAGAAGCTGTGTCCTATATAAACTTTGGGTGGGTGGAGGCATTCCATGAGAGCTGAGGCCAAAAATCATGTGTTACTTCCTTTAGATAGGATATTAGTTTTTCCCCTTGCAAGGAGAAGGATTAGAGAATTTTATCACAGTCTAAATTTGCATTTTAATTCTTTTAGTTGTGTAATTACATGTAATTTTATCTCTCTGGGATAACTCTTGGTTTTGTAAAGAATGACATTCAGTTTCTCGACTGTACTGAGGAATATGGCATCAGGTACAACTATATTCAAGTTTTAAGTAGACTTTGCACCTAGATATCAATCTGAAACTCTAGCTTATATGATGAACACAACTATTTTATGGCTGCATTTAGCTCAGTTTTTTTTTTTTTTTTAAAAGTCTGGAATGATTAATCAACTGGAGTAGTAAACAACTTTGCTTGTTGCATGTTTAGAGATGATTAAGTCAGGAGATAGGCAGATATACATAGGGGTGTGAAATGCGTTGTGTAACTGTATTACTTATTTAAAGAGCTAAAATTCAGTTCTCCATACTTAATGATGCCTAGGACCAGGAATGATTTTACTGCCTTTAACTAGTGTATATACTTTATTTGGGAGCTACATTTTTTTAACTGTCCAAAAAGTGTTTTTTATTAATTTTTTAGTTAATATAAAACTAGGGAATTTCATTAATGACATTTTAAAAATTATTATTTTTATTTTTTTGTATGAGTATGTTGTTTGCATGTATGTAAGTGCATCCGTGTGGTGCAAGGCCCATGGAGATCAGAAGAGGGTGTCCGATTCCCTGGAACTGGAGTTATGGACAGTTGTTAGCTGCCATGTGGGTACTAGGAATTGAACCTGGGTCCTCTACAAGAGCAGTTAGTGTCTTAACCACTAGGCCATGTCTCCAGCCCCCATTACAACATTTTCATGTAGGTATATTATTATACTTTGTTCTTATTTGCCCCTCACTTCCTCTCTTATCTTCCTCCCTCCCTCCCTCTGGCCCTCTTTCTCCTGGTAGTCCCTTCTGCTTTGGTGTGGCATATATTCATTACCCCTCTTGTTTGCCCCTACTTCTCCCTTTAGACCCTTTCTTGCCTTTCATGGCATATATACATACATACACATGTATTTAAATCAAAATTCCCAGTATGAGAGAAAACATGTTGTATCTGCCTCTCTGAGTCTGGCTTATTTCACTGAACATATTAATCCCCAGTGCCATCTGTTTTCCTGTCAATGTATAATTTCATTTTTTATGGCTGAATAAAATGCCATTGTGTGTATATACCATGTTTTCTTTATCCATTTATCTGCTGAGGGACCTCTAGGCTAGTTCCACAACCACTGGTGGTGGTGGTGGTTGTTGTTGTTATTATTATAATTATTATTATTATTTTGCCAGCCTGGGCCTTGTACAGTCTAGGTAAGAACTCTACCACTGAGTTATAACCCAAGCCTTGGTTTTTGAGATGGGGATAGTTGTGTAGCTCAGGTTGACCTAGAATGCGTGGACCTCCTGTCTTAGCCTGGCTTTGGAAACTTTTTTTCTTCTCTTTGTGTGGTATATTTTTTCCCTTTCCATTATTAAAAGGATCCAATTTTGTTGAATACACAGATAAAATCTAGAGCTACAAAGTCTGATTACTCTTCTGATTTCAGAAAAAAAAAAAAATCAGGCATGATGTGTACTTTCACTGTGTTATGGGAAGTTTAGTTGTGCTTGGTAGGAAAAGAACATGTGCCAGACTGTTCAGTAGTTAACCTGGCTTGTAGCTGTTGACTGCATTCTAACTTTGATGTTCTCTATTTTAAAGGCTCATGTACCTGCACCAAGCTGACTACTAAGATTTAAAAGGTATTTTGTATACAAGTTAAATTGGCAGTTGTGTTACTTGTAACAGTAGTTTTCTGAGCTATATACTACAGTGATGAGAATAGGTGTTCTTGGAATATTTCTAACATCTAAACCTCTAGCATTGAGAAATTCTATAGTAAAGACAGTAGTTTACATTTGTTTACTCTGGTTCTTCCTAATCTTTGACCACAGGTGTGTGTGTGTGTGTGTGTGTGTGTGTTTACATTTTTTTGGTGTTTTTTTTTTTTTTTTTTTTTTTAAGAAAGGGTTCCCCTGTAGCCCCACCTGTCCTGGAACCTCCTATGTAGACCAGGCTGGCCTTGAACTCACAGTGATCCGCCTGCCTCTCCCTCCCGAGTGCTGGGATTAAAGGCGTGCGCCACCACACCCGGCTGTGTGTTTACATTTTAAGGTAACATTAACTGTTATAAAATGTTGATTTTTCTACAGAACATAATTTGAAGTATTTATACTATAAAGCTTGAGTACCTTACTCCTGTATATTGAGAACTAAAGTTGACCCTGATCAATTAGCTTAGGAAGATTTGAAAATGCTAAAAACAAATTTGGGGGCTGGTATGTAGCTCAGTGGTAGAGCACTTGCTTAGCATGTGCACAAAGTTCTGAGCCGATCTTTACCACAAAACCAAAACCAAAACAGTCTTCAAAGTCATTTGGACTTGTATTTAGGTTGCTCTGTTTGCAGTTAAAAAAGTGTGTTTGTGGGGCTGAAGAGATGGCTCACTGGTTAAGAACACTGGCTGTTCTTTCAGAAGACCCAGGTTTGAATCACAGCACCCACATGGCAGCTAACCACTGTCCATAACTCCAGTTCCAGGGGATCCAACAGCCTCTTCTGTCCTCTGCGGGCATTGCATGACATGGGTGCACTTACAGGCAAGCATAACACTCATACACATAAAATAAAAATAATAAAATTTTTTTTTAAAAAGTGTGTTTATGTGTGTGTGTGTGTTTGTGTGTGTGTATGCCATGTGCATGAGGGTGCCCACAGGGGCTAGTTATTTCCTTGGAGCTAGAGGTATAGGCTTTTGAGAGCTTCCTGACACAAGTGTTGGGAACCGAACTCAGGTCCTTTGTAATAGCTACAAGGCTCTTGACCGTCTCTTCAGCCCCCAGATTGCAACTTTTGAGATACTGGTTTAGTTACTTAATATCTTAAAGAATTGTTTTCTCATATTATTAGACCACCTCATAAGGATTATTTATTGTGAGAATTAAATGCTGTAACATAAAATATAAAGGCTGACACATAAGTAACTACCGTTTTTATAAGCTAGTGAGTTAGTCTGTTAATGTCTCATGGTTGATGACAGAAAACAGAAGGCTCCTAAGTCAGAACAAATGACATTACTCATAGCAGACCAAGCAACATGCAACATCAGCATATTTGAGTAGACTTTCCTTGTTACCCAGTTCTGTGAAGTTAATGAGTGTTTGAGTAGACAGAAGCAATGGGTTTACATCACAGCTAAGGCACCCAGCTCAAGAGTGTAGCACTTTTTTTTGGAGGGGGGTAGGAAGTAGCTATCATAGTAGCAAATAACAATGCTAGTTTGTCTTAGGAAGGCAGCCATTGTGTTTGCCTTACCCTTCTTGTTGCCTTT